CAATGTTCATCTGTCAAAGCAGTGCCCTGTCACGTCCACAACTCACGTTCGAGATTATCACACCTCTTCATGCAAACTCGCAGCAGCAGCGTTGCTTCTCCGACTTGGTGTTCTTGCATCCTCCTACAGCTTCCGAAGCTTCTTGCGGAAAAGGTCTCAAGAGCACAAAGGATACGCTTAGATACTGCATACGCTTACACTGGTCTCCAATCCTGCAATGCATGTGTTCCTAAACTGAGAGTCAAACCTCTTCCCATAGATTCATCTCATTCTCCAATGAATTTTCTTCCTCTTGTTCGTCGACTTTCGCGGCAAAGCGCCTCAGCTTCTCATCCAAAACCCACAGGGTTGCAAGCTCATAAGTTCAATCATGAGAGGCCTCTGAGGTCAATGTGGACACCCAAGACCTGACCCATCTTCTGCCGTCGGCAGTCTGCGAAAATGCCTATTGCAGCCCAAGAACCTTCTCGTCTGCTGGCTGAAGAGTGTAATCCAACCTGCTGGATAGGCGATTCGAGCGCGTACTCGACGCTCATGTCGGAGATAGGCCACTTCCTCCACCCTCACGAGCGTTCCTGTTGGGAGAAAGCTACTGCAAGGCTTGACTCTGTTCCATGCTACCATGTGTTCCATATGCTGAAATGCATGCACATAGTGGGATCTGAAGATCACCCGAACAAATTTCAACTCACCTTCATCGAGCTCATCAACGATCTCTGCATCATGGGGCTCCACGTTTCCACAGCTGGGAGACACGAAGACCATCCTGTGATCATGAGACCACCTTGAACTTGTCATCTTGCTACGAATTCCAGGCGCACCAGGTGTAACACCAGGCACAAGAGGCACAATGCATGCATCAGTCCTCTTCAAGACATAAAGCCCAGGACCATCTTCCTTGAGTAACAATCGTTGAACGGTGAGCAGTTGTAACGTTCCAAGGCAACTTGGAGTGATATACTCACAATGAGCCCCGTGTGAAGATGCACAGGAACAAGCAGCAGGAAAGGACTTGGAATACATTGAAATCTCGGTGAGGTCACGTAAGAGTCTCAAGCGTACTGCAAAACTTGTTTTTGTTGGTTTTGGAGCAGCTGTCCTTGCGAGTGTAAAGAGGGGCAAGCTCTTTTTCATCGTCTGTCCCATCATGTTTTCGAGGATGGTACTGCACCTGGCACGTCAAGCTACGACGATCTATCTTTCCACAAACCAAGTTCTGGGAATTCAAGGTATTCAAGGAAAAAGACCATCATGATCCTTCATCAGTCTGGATCTCAGACCTTTTTCAGGGCTCAAAAGGAATCTGCAGGACGTCGTATCTGACAAAAACAGCCAACCGTCATGGTGACGTCATCAGTTGCACACATTGCACCTGTGCAGAGGGCTCTGCCCGTTCCACGAAGCTTTGGTTGGTGCCAAAGTCAATGACGTCGATCCAGCCATCCGCCGGTTGAGCCAAAGCGGCCCGCCTGGGGCATCGCAGTATCAAACCGCACTGATAGCACCTGGGGATCCTTTATGGGATCAGCCTCAAAACAATGAAATACCACGAAGTTGCTCGATGAATTCCAATGCATTCTGCCTCTTAGCAACACTGAGACGCTGGCAGGCGGCGCTGTTGTGGGACAAGCTGAAAGCTCATTGCATTGAAGAACTTCCCAGCCTGGCAGGATGCCAGGTGAGTCCCAGCTGACCGTGTACTCGGAGTGTCCGCCAGGTCCAAAGGGTATTGAAGGAAAATCGAAGTGAACCACCCAATGTCTTTCGTTTCTTCTTGGTTGACCCATCTTAGCATATCTTACACAGCATATCAACATACCAACCCCAAGTCTCACCATCTCGTCTGTGAACGTGCCTGAAATTCCGTGATGATGTCACCAATCTGAGGCTCTATGACATCAAAGGTCCTCAAGACCAGGCATCGGCAGGTCGTCACGTAGACGCCCGGCTGGAAGGCCTCGAATGGATTGATTCTATGTTGCACGGTCCTGAATCCTAAAGACCAGCCTCGGCAGCTTCTTCATCAGCAGCTCTCAGGGCTGCCTGCAAGCTTTCCTCGTCCGAATCCTGTTGACATGGTTCGCGGCTGTGCTTGCCATGTAGTACACAGGACTTGGCCATCGCCTCTGGGTCGAGCACCTCATCCACATCATCTACCTGCCATGTCACTGCAAAATGAACCCAGGCACAAGGTGCATGATAGCACATGTGTACTAAAAGAAAGTAAATAATATGACTCAAAGTGCCTGAAATACAATGAAATAAATAGCAAACAAAACATCTAAGATTTTGTGTTGTCAGAGCTCACCTCTTCTTCGGAGTTGGGCAAAGTCTGTGTTCGTCTTGGTGCGCTTTGATCCTCGTTGAGCACAGTATTAAGCACGTCTCTTGCGCAAGGACTTCTGAGTGAAGGCTCACGGCATCCTTTCAACTGACACAAGATCAAGGCTTCCTCCAGTGTCTCACCTATGCTGGCCGAATCTTCGTCGTCAGCCTGCATGCTGCCAAATTGCTAATTGATTAATTTAATGGATTCAGGATGATTTAGGGTACTGAAAATCGAATTACTGTCTCAGTCTAGAATATATGGGAGCACGTGCAAATGATGACCTTCTTCATGCAAAAAGGTGTCCCGCTCGCTTGCAACGACAAAGCATGCTGAAAACCTCGCTCATTCCTCGCATTCACCTACCATGCTTGGTGCAAGACAGCCAGAGGGTCCAAAGTTTCTTCTTGGATGCCAAGCTCCTCTTCCTGGTGTTGTTGCACAAAAGAAGGAAATCAAAGGATCTAACTTCTACGCCGATGCTCCGTGTCTTACACTTGCATGCTCTTCTCCTCGTTCGCAGCGTCCACAGCATCTTTGGCCTTGGAAGTGGACCATCCGGGGGCAACCAGTGGACCAGTCAGTGGACCAAGCAGGTTCAGGAAGCTACTAGGAGCAAAGGGCATCGCTACTAGGAGCAAGGACACTACTAGGGGCTCCTGGCCTTACTACTAGGAGCAAAGGGCATCCCAAAAATGACGTTCCTCGCTCCCGTTAGAGACCCTTGAGGTCCTTAGTAACTCTTGCTTGAACAAGAGTGGTCTATTCAAATTAAATGTCTATTTAGTCTTTTTAAACTAAATCGGTTTGTGGGCAAACGCGATCTCCTTTTGAGTACACCACAAAAGCATAAGTTCAGCTGTCTTCACGCGCATCATGTAGTCTGTAAATCTCCTTTTCTCCGGTTAGAGAGGCACATCGGGCCTTCCTAGAAGGGGTGAGGTGGCTTGGCCCCACAACTCTCACCCGATTGGGAGAACTGACCCTTCGCATGCAACCTGTGGCGACCCTTCAACCAGCTTAGTATTGTTGGGAGGTGCAGTTCAGAATTGAAGAGTTGTAAGATCACATTGTAACAGGTATTCAAGTGATTTCAAATGTACACCCAAATGTCTACCGCTTCCTTGCACCAAATTCTACATACTACATACATCCTCTACCCCTACCAAACTCAGCATGCAGTCCTTTGGTTGCAAGACCGTTCCCATCAGAATTGGCGTTCAACCCACTGCACGTCATCCGTTCATAAACTTTCCGCTCATATAATATAACTTCTGTGGGTACGGGTTCTAATTTCCTTCAGGTGCTCTGATCATCTGATCTTCTGCCCTTCTTAGTCATTCACCATGTCCTGCGCTTCTTGTGCATCTGTACGGTCCTGGATGAATGGGGCGAAGCAAGGCAAAACAAGAATCTACAAAACATCTCTGCAAAGGCGCGGCGCTTTGCGCGATCCTTTTCTGTTTTTTTCGACAGCACGGCTTCATCTCATCTTCGGGCTGAAACACATTCCGCCTGATCAACCAACGCACACCTTGATGCTGCTCGACTCGTGCTCGACTGGCTTCAGACACTCCGAGTCATGGAAGGCCACGAGGGGAACGAGGGCCTGCCACGGGTGGTTCCTTCGGCCTGTCGACTTTGCTCTTCCACGCCGCGAAATTCTGTCTGACTGTCTGACTCTCACAAGTCTTCTCTGAGATGCCTACTTTTCCGTGTGATACCGAAGGGTTTGAAAGGTTCAAGAAAGATCCGGCGATCTCATTTAATCTCCACTTGTCCGAACTCCAAGGCCTCCAAGCCTTCTCTTATCTTCTCTTGGAAGTGGAGAAGCCTCACCACTTTTGCAGTTCCCAGAAAATGCCGCAATGCCCCTGCAAGATGCTGGAGGGTCTTAGAACATCCAAAACGATGTGCCAACATGTCCAGGGGTCGATCCCTTTCCTGCCCTTTCTAGGCAAAGCAATCGCGACTCCAACCACGGCTTCTTTGGCTCGGTTGAAACAGAATGACCCGCCTTCCAAGGGGGGTCTTTTGGATCACCTCGGCCATCTGGTGAATCTTTTGGCTGTCCAGCTGGCCATTCATCTGAAGTTCCTACTAGCCTCCTTGTTCCTAGTAGCGATGCCAGGAGCCCCTAGTAGCGTCCTTGCTACTGTATTATTTGGGAGATGTCCCTATTTGAGCTCATTTTCGTGATGCATTGATTGGAACCTTCTTCAGCTCTAGACTGTGATAGGTGCCCCCCCCAGCCATCTCGATCTGCTCTACCAAGTAGACCAACTTCTCCTGCATTCACCACTTTGAATGTCAGATTTGCATGCTGTTCTCCACATGATCTAATCTACGCTCTTCTCTCGTCGTTCCTTTCTGGTGGCAAAACGCCGCTCCTGGTGATTCATCGGCAACCATTTGAAGTGCGGCAAGCTCACCACCCCTCACACAGTCATTTCAAATGGCCACTCGCACGCGTGGAATCAATTCGTCCACTCCATCACCCCCGCAAGGCATCACATCGTGGAAAAATCACGGTTACACGAACTCTCTATTAGGTTGGAGGCTATTACTATTAGGATCTATTAGGTTGGAAGCCATCGCTATTCGGTTGGAGGTCATTACTATTTTACAGGTAAAGAACTTAAAACCTGCTTCGATCTTGCAGACTCTCTCAGCCTCTCAGTCTCTCAGCTCTGGACGAAAGCGGGTGGCTCAGGCGCGCACCCCATCCCAAGGCGTTGAAGATTCGTCGCTTCAGCTCTGACTTGGCCGTGAGACGCTGAGAAAAGGCATAGAAGTGCGTGAAGCCATCGACCTCGACGGCGATCTTCTTGGGCAGAATGAAATCTGGAACATAAGGCCCAACCGCCTTCGGAGGAATGAAAGAATGCACTCATGCAACAGGAGTCCATGGGGAATACTCGTGAGTTCAGAAGGTTCTACGGTTCTACCCGATGGGTACTCCCGTTTAGAAAATGGTTTCCTCTGATTCTCTGATTCATTGCCACATCTGTTCGACAAACGTCATGGCTACACCAGCCAAGCCACCTGCTCTGGCAGATGTTGAACCTGCAGCTCCTTGAAATACCGCTCGATGGCACGTTGGAGTTTGGAGCTGGTGGTTGCGCACCTGAGATTGCTTCCAAAACAGACCACGGTGGACCAAAACACCATTGGATCCGTATAAGCAATCTGACATTTTGATGAAAGGCATTGAGGTCAAGGCTGAATGGCCATGTGCTGCGTCTTTCCCAGCACCTTGCAGGGTCATGTGCTGCGTCTTTCCAAGCATCCAAACTTCCAAGATCCGCTCCCAAAAGGACACGCGCCTCTTGTAATGCTTTCACTGAACGTCCCTTAATCTCTGGCACCTGAGACAGATATATGAAAGCCATTCAAAACTAAAAGGGCCGGCCAAATGTACCTGGTTTTTTGAGGACCACTGTCTCTGGTGACTCTGGTGTTTTCATCGGCAACGTTCGAGGACGGAATCGGCAGAGACGAGAAGTTCGGATTGGGAGCAAATTCCTCAGCTGGGAGCGTTACTTTTGGGAGGCCATCGCTAAAGTAGGTTGGAGGCCATCCCTATGAGGTTCCTCTTGCTATCAGGTTCCTTTCGCTTTTGGCCTCGGCACTTCCAATGAGTTGCGCATCGCTGGCCTCAATGCCTCTGGGAACTTCACCTGGGATGCAGAAAGGCCCGTTGCGTCTGGGTGCTGTGAAAGATCTGTTCCGGCCAAAAGGTCGGGTTCGGGGGGTTTGTGATCGAATCCCGTGGGGTTAGCCATCTCATATTGGGTTCCACGACACTTTCTCAATCTCTCATGGAGGTGATTGGGGGTGACTGACCTGAACCTACGAAACAAAATAAAAAGAATTCACTCAATCTGCGAAGCATGATGGGTCCGCCATGTGCAAGTATGTTGTGAGACAATCCCCAGCAACCCCCCCAAGCAGAATTCGTTCTCTGGCCCCGGATTGCAAAACCCACCAAGTGGCTTGGCTTCAAAATGTCATTCAAACCCACTGGCGGATGGAAATTCGTGAAAAATCATTGAAAAATCTATCAGTGTTGGGTCCCCGGATCGGTCCTATAAAGGTGGGAATCTGCCCTGGTCTGGAACAGTCCATCCAATCATACCGTTCTTCGAAGTGCAAATCCGTCTGGGAGGGAAGAGAAAGTCCACAATCAGAACTGGTCCGTCAAAAAGAGAAGGGAAACATGCGGAAACATCGTGAACGCCTTTATTAGACCATGACAATGTACAAACCATATCAAACCATTGTCATGATCTTAAAACGATCCCAAAAAAAGAAGCTAAACAAATTCAAATACACTCGGTCTTTTCGTCGTTTGGATGGTGGATCCATTCGCCAAGGTGCTGCATGTGCCACGATGCGGAGCGCGTGGACGGCCACGGGCTCTAGGGTGTCGGCCTGAAGCGCCAAGCGCTCCAGGGCGAAGGAGAAGAGCTCTGCAGCTGGCAAATCCAAGACCTAAAGACGAAGATCTTCCAAAAACTGAAGAGATCCTCATTCATCTTTAATAGAGTTGAAGATTAATTGTATGATGAGGTCTATTTTCAAGCAGAGGAGAAAGATGAAAAAAGGAACTGCAGTCTTCGACTGGAGGCTTGGACCGGAGGGTGTGGTTGTTGGACTTCACAAAGTTGTGCATTGATCCAGCAACATGAGAAGGAGATGTGGGTTAGCTGGCTATATAGTTCATTCCGGGATTTGTCTCAAAGATTGCTGCAAGTCTTTGGACTCCTAAGATGCCCCGCCACCAAGGCAAAGGCGATGTTCACCAGCTCCTGGAATTTTCAGGAGTGCAACAAGAGCAGTATTCAGAACTGCTCGAACTCCACACAAAATCCAGAGACTAATGATCCACATCAGATGTTCCCGGATCGCCGCCCGGATCGCGCGGATCGAATCCACATGGCCCACGGATCGCCTGCTGAGACGCATGGCCCAAACATCGTGGCAATGCTTTGGCTGCCAGGAAGAAGGCTGGCGAGCGAGGCGCTTGCGCCGAATGTCCATGATGGGTCATTCTTCACATTACAGAGTGTTTGCGTAACTATATCATATAATATACAGTATAGGAGATCAGGCGGTAGATTACTAAGCATGAAACTAAAGAACACCTTCGCTTCTTGGCAGTTCCATCTTCG